GAAGGAAAGCAGCAGTGACCTTTTTAATTAAAGGAATCTCCTGCACAGAAGCAAAGCACAGGCATTGTTTCTTGACTGAACATGAATTGCACATCAAGAAGCAAGAATGCGCAGGCCTTTTGCATTTAAGATCTATCACCAGAACAAAAGATGGCTTGTTAAACTCCCCAAATGCATAGAACTTGCCTAAATCCATGCAGGTACAGATTGCACAGTTGCAGCATACTATTCAAAGCCAAGGAGAGTGAAAACTGTTGGCTTGTTTTCTGAATGACAGCAGCTGAAGAGAAGGGGTTTCATACACAAAAACAGGTTGACAATAGCACAAGCCAGGTACTAGACTGTCTTGGACTTGCATAGTAGCTGATGTGTGCTTGTGTTTGTGTGCTTTTGTGAATAAAAGCATTCTTCTTGAGCAGATTCAATGTTAACTTCAGAGATGAGGCGTCGGCAGAATGGAGATGATGTGGGGCTCAGTGCTAGCTGTAACCCGACCCCCCCCTTTTCCTTCATGGGAACCCCCAATTGTTTTAGTCTTTAGGGGGGGTAGAGCTACAGCTACCAATGACAAAAAGAAAGATTTATTCATTGCAACCTAGAAATAAGACCTTGCCTTTTCACTGGTGAACACCTCACTGAATAGATATGGAACTTCCTGATAATAAGCATAAATTGGACCGTATACATTGTATCCGAGTGCTTTCTTTAAATAAAAACATCATTTGCAACAAAAAAGCATTTATTTGTTTTTCAACACTCACTGCTCAGATTTTAATGTACGCAAAATCTCCTGGGGGATTTTTTTTTCTCTATTGGTGATCTATTGGGCGTTTGGCACAGAGTTCTGCTTTAAGGCTCAACTCCAGGCAAACCTTTTTTATTTTAGGTATAGTGGGGGAACAGAACATTTCTGTCATGATATTTTTTGCCTGCTACCCTATTTGGGAGATTTCTCCTCACATTCTTTACCTTTGATGCTAGCACAAGAAATTGGGTGTGCAGATACCACTGGGAAAGGAAGGCATGGACAGCAATAAAAACACTGTCAGAAGAGTCCCTATTCAAGAGATTTCCCATCACTTCCTTTCAGGAAATTTTCCCAGTGAGGTTACAGGTACCAACAAAAGCCTGACAGAGGCGCTGACATGTATCTGCTAAGAATACCATTCCCTGCTAAAACATAAAAAAGTTTTGGCTGCAGAGGAACTTTAAAAAACATCTTTTCCTTTCTTTAAAATAAAGTCCGCTAATCCACCCCACCCTCTATAATTGAGCTGCGGTATGCTGCACATTTTACTGTGTGGATGTTTGCACAATCTGAGAGCTATGGAGAAGATTGTAAAAGCAGAGAAAATATTAGGCATTTACTCAGTGCAGATTGTTTAGGTGTCTACAGATAGTAGAAGGCACCTGGCCATGCAGGTCACTGAATATTTCTTAGACAAGTTCATTATACAACCATGCAGATTCAAATTTGGCAGACTTGCATGGTTTAGCCCTATAAACGAAGGAGTGCCCATAATTGCTGGCTTACCTTGGAAGGAATACATTTTCTAGGAAATCAATTCACCTTCAGAGGGTGCTAAGCCAGGAAATGGAACATTCTCTTATTAGAGTAAACTTGCTTCCTTTGCATGTTAGACTAGGGGAGCACAATTCAGGAGTAGGAACTCCAAGCACAGTTACATAATCACCATAACAAAGCCAAAGCATTTAATATGCAGTAATATGTAAAATAAAAAAGAAACCAAATGGTTGAAGGTGGTGAGGTTTAGACAGCTCAGACGATTGATTAGGTTACTGCAACAGCAAAGAAATCCCATCAAAAGGCTATACATTCATACAAGATGGTGGTACAGCAACTGTCAGGACAGCAGAAATCTGACTGTCACAGACAGACCCCATAGGAGGTAAATTTAATGCACTGACAATCTCTTTATTACAAGGCAGCTTATCTCTGGATACCCTGCATAGGGGTGAACAGGCAGCATAAAACTCAAATAAGCCCTGTAATAGGATTCCAAGACTATGCTTCAAACAGAAAATAAGCAGCTGTTCCGGGACAAAGTCCTGTGGATAGAGAGAGAATACTTCAAACTTTCCTGTAAGAACTGTGCCAGGCGAGATGATGAATCAATGTGCCAGTACAAACACAAGTCTGTCACTAAAACAGGCCAGCTCCCAACCAGCACTGTGCCAAAGCACATATGAAAACGCTACAACAAGTGCATTAAGCCATATGGTCTATTCACTCTGGCAGACTCTTCCCCAAGTATACATAGCCTGAGCAGATCTTATTTTTTGGCACAATACTATTCTTGAGATATAGAAGGCCAGTTTACATGAACAAACAAGAAGATGCTGTTTGCTGCTACACAAAAAAAAACAAAAAAAAAAACCCATCAATATAGGATTATTATGCTCTTTTTGTAACTGGATTATACAAAAAAAAACCCCCATATATATATATATATATATATACACACATACACACACACACACACATATATATATATATATATATATACAGTGTATATATATATATATATATATATATATATATATATATATATTTATTTTTCCTTTTTCCTCTAGATCCATTCACAAACATCACACAATCAATGAGACAACCTTTATTGTTGGTAACAACTTTGGACACTTTACAGCTCAACTCCAAGCAAAATTTGTTTTCAATTTATTTAGCTTGAAATAAAGAAGCATTAGAACCTCTGTAAGGTTTCTCATTACAATTTTTATATAAATATAGTAATTTCCACAACACAATCGGGTTATAAAGGATCTATTCATATTTCTAACGTATTCAAGTATTTATTAAAGTGGACCTAGCATCAGAGATAAACCTACACATTATTTATCATTAAAAATTAACACATGCAGGTCTGTATTATTGATCACACTGTATATCACTGGCAATACCTTCATTTGATTTTCCCAACGGAAGGGTGGAGCCATCTTTGTTAAGACATCATTCAGGGTCAGCATCTTACTGTACTGAGATGCTGGCCCTGAGATTTTAGTCCTGTACATCCTGGTACCAGCCCGTCACTAGCATTTACAAGTGTTTTGATGTATGCTTCAAAGAATTTGCTACCTTGAGAAATATTTTATGCCTTTGCCTAACAGTGGCCATACATGCTTTAATGTGGTATAGATTTTTTTCTGATCGATTTCAATTGATACAGTAGTAAAGATATGATCATAACTTACACATATCGGTTTCCACCATGTAATCTCATAATATGAAGTGCCAATCAATGAAAAATGGTTGATACATTTTCCCACCCTGGCCATTTGACTCAGTTTGATCTAATCAAGTCTAAGTTGATCAGGAGGAAAGTAATGGCTTTCCCATTTTTTCTGGATTCGTTGATCGAACTGCACATTGATCGGATAAAAAAAAAAATAAAAAACAAAAATAAATAAATATGGAAGCTTGTGTGTGCGTGTATCATAAGAAAGTAAATTCTTGCTTGGGGGGGAATGTATCTTTTTAAGTAAACTTTGTGCCAAGCAAAACCTCATCAGTATGTTAAGAAATGATCTGTTGGTATGTATTTATTTTATATTACAGTTGTCTGTGCCTGCATTGGGACACTTTATTTTTGGATTTGTTGTTGCTGCTGCTGCAATTGGAAATCTCTTCAATGGGGGCCGAAGCAGCATAATGTTGGAAAAGTTAATAAATTCAATCTTGCTACGGAGTCCCCGAGAATCCCGGAAATTGTGTTTTGTACAAGGCTTGTATGCACCAAGGGATTTCTGCCTGTCTGCGTGTTTATACAAGTATGGCATATACACGTATACAGCTACTGTACAGCCATTCATTGCTATGGCCGACTGTACTATGCAGTCATGTCTCCTGAGCACAGAAAAACATGCACACTATATGGGGAAAAAAAAAATTGGCACTCATGCATTTTTTGGAGTTTTGCGTGGAATGTGTTAGATTTGGCTTTTCGTTTCTCTGCTTGTGTCATACCAAAACAAACAAAATAAATAAACATGAGAATGCCAAGACATACCGTATTTTTCGTTCTATAAGACGCACTTTTTTCCCCCCAAAAAAGGGAGAAAATGTCAGTGCATCTTATGGAGCGAATATGGAGCAGCCGGCCCGGTATTCCAGCCGCCGCGTCAGAATACCGGGCTGGCCACTCAGCTCTTCTCTGCAGCAGAACCTTACCTGTTCTTCGGGGTCCAGCGCTGTACAGTCTTCCGGCGCTGGCATCTTTAGTGTGGGCACCCGGCTTTGATAGCCGGGTGCCCACTGCACATGCGTGAGAAGCGCTGTGCTTTGTGAATGGTCCGGCGTCTTCTGGGACACATGACAGGTCCCAGAAGATGCCAGACCATTCACAAAGCACAGTGCTTCTCAGGCATGCGCAGTGGGAACCCGGTTGTCACAGCCGGGTGCCCACACTTAAGGGAGGAGGACAACTCAGCGGAATTAGGAGTGGGTACCTGTCAAATTCAGGTACCCGCTTCCCCCTCCCTCCCCAAAGGTCTGCAGTCTCTGAATCATCCCCTGTACTGTCCGCAGTCTCTGGTCAATCCCTGTACTGTCCGCAGTCTCTGGTCATTCCCTGTACTGTCTGCAGTCTCTGGTCATTCCCTGTACTGTCTGCCGTCTCTGGTCATTCCCTGTACTGTCTGCCGTCTCTGGTCATTCCCTGTACTGTCTGCCGTCTCTGGTCATTCCCTGTACTGTCTGCAGTCTCTGGTCATTCCCTGTACTGTCTGCAGTCTCTGGTCATTCCCTGTACTGTCTGCAGTCTCTGGTCATTCCCTGTACTGTCTGCAGTCTCTGGTCATTCCCTGTACTGTCTGCAGTCTCTGGTCATTCCCTGTACTGTCTGCAGTCTCTGGTCATTCCCTGTACTGTCTGCAGTCTCTGGTCATTCCCTGTACTGTCTGCAGTCTCTGGTCATTCCCTGTACTGTCTGCAGTCTCTGGTCATTCCCTGTACTGTCTGCAGTCTCTGGTCATTCCCTGTACTGTCTGCAGTCTCTGGTCATTCCCTGTACTGTCTGCAGTCTCTGGTCATTCCCTGTACTGTCTGCAGTCTCTGGTCATTCCCTGTACTGTCTGCAGTCTCTGGTCATTCCCTGTACTGTCTGCAGTCTCTGGTCATTCCCTGTACTGTCTGCAGTCTCTGGTCATTCCCTGTACTGTCTGCAGTCTCTGGTCATTCCCTGTACTGTCTGCAGTCTCTGGTCATTCCCTGTACTGTCCGCAGTCTCTGGTCATTCCCTGTACTGTCCGCAGTCTCTGGTCAATCCCTGTACTGTCCGCAGTCTCTGGTCAATCCCTGTACTGTCCGCAGTCTCTGGTCATTCCCTGTACTGTCCGCATTCTCTGGTCTTCTTCTGTACTGTGTCCGCATTCTCTGGTCCATCTCCTGTGCTGTGTCCGCAGTCCCTGGTCCATCTCCTGTACTGTGTCCGCAGTCTCTGGTCCATCTCCTGTACTGTGTCCGCAGTCTCTGGTCCATCTCCTGTACTGTGTCCGCAGTCTCTGGTCCATCTCCTGTACTGTGTCCGCAGTCTCTGGTCATCTCCTGTACTGTGTCCGCAGTCTCTGGTCATCTCCTGTACTGTGTCCGCAGTCTCTGGTCATCTCCTGTACTGTGTCCGCAGTCTCTGGTCATCTCCTGTACTGTGTCCGCAGTCTCTGGTCATCTCCTGTACTGTGTCCGCAGTCTCTGGTCATCTCCTGTACTGTGTCCGCAGTCTCTGGTCATCTCCTGTACTGTGTCCGCAGTCTCTGGTCATCTCCTGTACTGTGTCCGCAGTCTCTGGTCATCTCCTGTACTGTGTCCGCAGTCTCTGGTCATCTCCTGTACTGAGTCCACAGTCTCTGGTCATTTCATGTACTATGTCTGCAGTCCATTGGTTCAGAATATTTTTTTTTCTTGTTTTCCTCCTCTAAAACCTAGGTGCATCTTATGGACAGGTGCGTCTTATGGAGTGAAAAATACAGTAATTGCAACAATTTTCAGGCCAAAGTGGTGCATTATCTGACAGAAGTGCAGGGGGTGCCAATATTTTTGGCTATGACTGTATGTTGTATGCCTTAATGCACCTGTGTGCATATCCTGGTGACATCCATTCTTCCAATTTCTTGCCCTGGTGTCAAGTATAATTCTACGTAGAAATGGACTTCAATAATATAAAGCACAGCTGAGGTATCCTCCAAACTGTTTTATCCTCCATTTACAATTAGCATGAATGTAGCCATGTGATTTGGAGTTTTTTCTTTGCACATTTTTCGTGTTTTTGTACATGTAACTTTTAGTACAACAGCAGAATTGTGCATTTCTTGCTCCGTAGACTTAAAGTGGATCTAAAGTCTACTAATAATGGCGGCGATCGGCGACTTAATAGTAGGACTGCGGCGGGCATTCTGACACTGGGGGGAACTTACTTGGTGTCACTGACATCCTCAGTGACACCAATACAGTGATCAATGCTATAAAAAAAAAAAAAGCACTGACACTATACTAATGGCACTGGGCAGGAAGAGGTTAACATAAGGTGCGATCAAAGGGTTAACTGTGTGCTGGGAGTGTTTTACTAGGGGGGCGGTGTGTTGGTGCTTCACTGTAAGGACACTGCTCTGGATGGCTGTGCACAGCCATCCAGAGCAGTGTGCCCAAGCAGACAGGGAGGACAACTGTTAGTAAACAGAGCAGCCCTCCTCCCCGTCAGAGATCCTCGGTAATCACGGCCGGGACCTGGTGATTGACAGCTGTGTCCACGAATGGCAGTGCGGGTAGGGTGCGCTCCCCCTACCCAGAAATGCAAAATCACGCATATATACGTGATTTTGCGCATCCCTGCCGCCGTATATCTTGTATAGGGCAGCGGGGATGTGGTTAACCTTTTGGCACTTTTACCCCCTTCCTGCCCAGGCCAATTTTCAGCTTTCAGCGCAGTCGCAATTTGAATAGTTGAGTGGTGATGTAACACTGTACCAATTTTTATAATTTTTTCACACAAATAAAGATTTCTTTTGGTGGCATTCCATCACCACTGGATGTTTTATTTTTTGCTAAACAAAATTTTTCTCCTTCACTGATGTGCATTGATGAGGCTGCACTGATGGACACTGATGAGGTGTCAAACAACAATCGCTCAAATCTTGATACTCCTCAATATCAAAGTGTCTGTCACTTGATAAGGTGTAGCCCACCACAAATCGGGGAACCTAAGAACTGTCAAGAAAAAAACATAAAAGAGGGTGCACGCTCCTCGTGAATTATCATAACAGATTAAAAGATAGGTCACAAATGGATACTTCCAAGCAGACCATAAAAACAGACATCAAGCCAGATCTTTCAGTCCCAGACAATGGGGTTCTGTCCCAACAACTGCCTGGTTGGAATAGCTGACGCATTTTGGGAGAAGAACTCCCTTCCTCAGAGCTGAACCAACCAAAAGGTGCCAATGTCCCATATATAGAGGAAGTCACATGTGTAAGCCATCATGTGTGCTGAAGAAGTGGTTAAATAGGAGTGACTAAAAAAATGTTCATAAACATGCATTTTTCAAGCACTTCCATTAAAGTCTAGGACAGAGGTCACGAAACGTTCTAAACAAAGGTCCAGTTTACTGTCCTTCAAACCTTCAAACTTTAGGGGGGCAGAACTGTGGCCAGTGGGAGTAAAAAGTGTCCTGGTGTCAGCAGGAGTAAATAATGCCTCATCTTTGGTATTAGGGGAAGGAATAGTGTTCCATCATTAGTGTCAGTGGGAGGAATAGCGCCTCATCATTGGTGTCAGTGGCAGGAACTATGCCCCACTGTTGCTGGCAGTGTGTGTGTGTGTGGATAATGCCACAAGTGCCAGGTAAAGGGCCTTTTTTTCAGATTCACACAACAGGTGACATTAGGAACTGGATTATTCATCCTAAGTGTTGTGAGCTTCAGGAAACGCATGGCAAACTGTTCAGGTGTGTATAGGGGTTGAGTAACTGCATACAGGTCAACCAGTCTAAATTCATGCACCCTGTACTAGGGAATACGTGGTCAAGAGTAACTACATAAAGTATTTTGTTGAACGAAACATTTATATTAAACAGTACAGATGCATATCTGCTGGTGCAGAATGGTCGCCATTGACATCATGACTTCTTGGCTGTGGCTTTATTCTCCTATCCACCATTTGACCGTGGAGTAATCTTGGGAAATTGGGAAGTGCAGTCTGTACTGGCTCATAGTGAAGCGTATGCAGCATATTGTACGATCACAAATCCTGCCTCACCATACTCCAAGTGCATGCTAAAGGTCAGCAAGGGCTAGTGATCAGAGCGGAGGCTGCATTTATAAAGGATAGGGATGCCACAGACTGGCCACTACTAAACTGCAGCAAACATTTTCTCCTTATTATACGTTTGCAATAATAATAATTTGGAATGTTTAACTAAAAAAGTATAATATAGCTGCAGCTAACCTTGAAATTATTATATATGTGATAGCTCAGCTGGTCTGAATCATGACAAAAGGCTAACTTTAGTGATACAATAGCGGGGATTCCTCTTTTCTGCACTGTGAAAGCCGTGCTGTCCATACACATGATGTATGGGACGATGAGTACAAACAATATATTTCAGGATGTCATCTTCTGGTCTCTCCCATCACAAGGCAACTGAGTATTTAATGGCTGGAACGAGGGATCTCGGTGCTGCCAATTTTAACAAAATCTTATTTTAATTTGCAGTATTTTTAGGTACTACAAAAAGTATAATAAGGTAAAATAGGAGTAAAAAGCCAGATCAAACAAAATTACCAAGCAAATACATCCTAGCTCACATCTCAGTTACTCATTGTAAGGCTTACCATGTTCTTGCTAACTTTCGCTGATTCTGTGAAATCACATTTGTTACATTTTTGTGAAAGCTGTCATACAATTCGCGTTTCACTCTAAAAATCTCAGCTATTTCCTCCAGACACACCCATTATGATTAGTGCTTGTCTGATTGGAATGCGATACAAGGAAGCTTTGCGCTGATATTAGGGGTGGGGGGTTTGGAGTCTGCAAGGACCCCAGTCAGTAATTACAATGTGTTAATGGGAGGAGCCTGAAAGTCAGCTGATGATGGTAAGGACCACAAGTGCACAGCAGTCAATGGGGAGAAAGGATTTGAAATGCAGGATGTCATGGAGGGAAAAGACCAGATACAATTAAAGGGATTTGTATGAAACAACGCAGACAGCATCTATGAAATAATATATTTCATATGAACCAAAGCACATGATTATTGCATTGTACAGTATTTTTTGTAGAGGTTTATATAATTTGTGCTTTAGAACATACATCAAGGAAATAGACAGACCGATAGATATTGGAGTTTAATAAGCTAGAGCAGCAATTATTCATGAGGTGCAAAGAGCAATCACCCACAGCAACCCAACATCATCTTTCACCAAAAAATAAAAAAAAATATATCCCATTGGTTGCTACTAGTTAGCTATCTTTTTGCATGGTTAACATTATCGAAATAGCCTACATACCAAAGTGAAATACTACATTTTGCTCTTCAATTAATCAAAATAAAATCGAGCATCTTGAAACATAACAAAAAATAAAGAAGTACTTGATAATATACAAAAATAATGTAAAAAACAGACTCCAGCTGGCTGTAAATTTAAAAATAAGGCACCAACCATTAACCAATTTATTATCTAACAAAATACCTAATAAACACAGTCACAAATAAAAGTGGATTTCTGCAATTTATTATTTTGTTGTGCTCTAATTTTCAGTGTTCTGTTTTTTTTTTTTCCCAAAGCTCTCTTGGAAATTTACATCTCTGTAGAAGCATATTGTAATGCTGTCATTGTGTCTCTTTTGTCTTCAAAACAACCAATGATATAACCAAGAGGCCAACACCTAAATTGAGTGCTTTTATGAAAGGAGGATCAAAAGCTACATTTCACAACCTCAAAATTATTCAGAGGTTCCTGAACCATAAAAAAGTAACAACAACACACAAATTAGCAATAATTTACCACAATATAAATATAAAACATTAAATAAAACCATCCTCTTGACCATCTGACATCTAGAACTCATGCTATTATAGAAGAGGAACTACCAATTTTATTACCCACAATGGACATGGTCATGTTTAAGCCCTTAATTTCTCCCTCATCTGTTACAGAATCATCCAAATGGTCTGACATATGGCTTTCCCGTACTGTCTACAAGATTACAAAAGGCTTTCTTTAATATAAGAATATTGGTCATTCACACATTCCTAATCAAGCACAATTGCATTCTCTAATCTGGAGATAAACACATAAGAATTAATCAGGCCTAATACAACCAGCACTCCTAGCAGATCCTTGACCCCGACCAGTTCCCTATATGTGAACTATACTTACGTATAAGTAGTAGAACACCTGACGACCTGTCAGCTGGCTCCGTACCTACAGACCTCCAACCCTCCAGCCAAATAACAGAAAACCAGGACTCCAGGACAGGAGACCTCTCAGAGCTATGAGTTAATTCTGACCATCAGCCATCAGGAAGCATCCAAATTCAGAATGATCAGCAAAGCTCTGCAAGCTCTGAATGCTGTCCTCATAGCACTGATCACATCCCTTTG